GGGTCTATCCCTCCTCTTCTTCCTCCTCTTCCTCTTCCTCCTCTTCCTCGTCGCTGGCTCCCGCCGCCGCCGCCGTCTATCGGGGCCGTCCGCTCTCGCCTCGGAGGCGCCCCGGGGAGCCGTCGGAGATGAAAGCCCTCCAGCAGACCCGAAGGCTCCTGGCCAACGCCCGGGAGAGGACCCGCGTCCACACCATCAGCGCCGCCTTCGAAGCGCTCCGGAAACAGGTACCCCCTGGACGGCGGCTAGAGGGAAAGAGCCGCCTCCCCTGGATCCCTATGGGATGCAAGGATGCCCCAGGGCTTCCCTATGTATAGGGGGGTGTTCTCCAGTGTTTCCCTAGGAGCAAGTCTTCCCCAATGTTTCCCTATGGGCAAGTCTTCCGCAACGTTTCCCTATAGGGATGTCTTCTGCAATGTATCCCTATAGAGAAGTATTCTCCAATGTATCCCTATAGAGAAGTATTCTCCAATGTTTCCTTAGGAGCAAGTATTCCCCCAATGTTTCCCTACAGGGATGTATTGTGCAATGTATCCCTATAGAGAAGTATTCTTCAATGTATCCCTATAGGGAAGTATTCTCCAATTATTCCTTAGGAGCAAGTATTCCCCAATGTTCCCCTATAGGGTGGTGTTCTCCAATGTTTCCTTAGGAGCAAGTATTCCACAATGTTTCCCTATAGGGAAGTATTCTGCAATGTTTGTTTCCCCATGGGCAAGTATTCCCCAATGTTTCCCTAGGAGCAAGTATTTTGCAGTGTATCCCCATAGGGAAGTATTCCCCAATGTTTCCCTATAGGGATGTCTTCTGCAATGTATCCCTATTGAGAAGTATTCTTCAATGTATCCCTATAGCAAAGTATTCTGTAATGTTTCCCTATGGGCATGTATTCCCCAATGTTTCCCTATAGGCAACTATTCCCCAGTGTTTCTCTATGGGCAAGTATTCCCCAGTGTTTCCCTATAGGGAACTATTCCGCAGCGTTTCCCTATAGTAAAGTATTCCTCAATGATTCCCTATGGGCAAGTATTTCTCAATGATTCCCTATGGGCAGGTATTCTCCTATGTTTCCCTATGGTAAAGTATTCCCCAATTTTTCCCTATAGGGAAGTATTCCGCAACGTTTCCCTATGGTAAAGTATTCCCCAATGATTCCCTATGGGCATGTATTCCCCAATGTTTCCCTATAGGGATGTATTCCCCAATGTTTTCCTATAGGAAGTATTCCCCAATGTATCCCTATAGGGAAGTATTCTACAATCTCCCATTCCCAGAATTCCAGAGCCTGGAGCCGTGGCCATTCAAGTGTACTCAAAACGGATTAGCCGTGCAGTGTGGATGCACCCTAACAGGAGGTCATGCCCTCCAAATCCTAGACTGGGTGGCCCCTTGGTGGGAGGAATCATGTGCTCTGCACTTCCTCAGAGGAACTCTCTTCCTCCTCCTCCTCCTCCTCCTCACTTGGGATTTAACTCAGGGCCTTCAGGGAAGCCTTACAGGAAACAGACAAAGCAAGGGGGGCCAGATGTTCTCCCCACAAAATGAGGACAAGGGGCTGCCAAATGTAGGAATATTTCAGAGAAATGGAGGACATGGCCAAATAAAAGGTGAATGCACTCGTAGGGATACATTTCAGAGCTATAGCCATGTTAGTCTGTAGAATTAGTATGTAGAGAGAGGTCTTGTAGTGCCTTTGAGACTCACTGAAAGGAAGAAGTTGGCAGCAGGAGCTTTCCTAGACTAAAGTCTGCTTCCTCAGATGCATTTGATGTTATTATTATTATTTAAAGAGATCTTGTAGCACCTTTGAGACTCACTGAAGGAAAGAAGTTGGTAGCATGACCTTTTGTAGACTAAAGTCTGCTTCCTCAGATGCATATAATCCCATTCTTCTTGGGAGGGGCTTTTGACATTCCTCCTGGTCAAAAGGTTGGAATAGAGGACAGGTCTGGGAAAGGAGGACACCCAGTCACCCTGAATTCAAAGGAGCTTTCCAAGGGATCCACTGGGAATTTTCTCCATACCATCTCCATGGAGAGGGAATGCTGTTCCCATTTCAGTAGCTTCTGAGCTGGAGAACTTCCCCAATTGAACAGGCTCTCCCTGGGAAGGGTGCCTTCATGGCACTCAGAAATTGCCACCTCTTTTGTGGTGAGCCCTGGAAAACCCTGCCTTAGATTATTCCTCCTGCAGGAAGAACAAATCGCTGGCTTGCAGGTCAGCCCTTCCTCCCAAGGGTGTTTTTCAAAAGAGTTGTTGTGGTTGT